CTTAAATTTTAAGTCGTGGCTCTTCCTTTTCTCTGCCATGACTTTCAAAATCGAGATTTGTGCGTGAGATTTCTGGTTTCCTAGGGCTTGATTTTCAAATGTAGATGGGAATATGAATCAAAAAGGTGTTTTTAATCCTAATTGTTGCATTCCGATTGCTATTTCCGATAGACGTCACGATAGACACAATTCACCACTTCACACGTGAAAACTATGGCTTTAAAAATATAGAAGCCGCCTTTGAATTAAAGCCGTCTTTGATTAGAAGCCGCATTATTTTTCTTTTGAAAAAAAATAGAAGCCGTGGCTTCTAATCAAGAAAATACAATAATTGAAAATTTGCTACAAAATGCGATATTTGGATTTTGAAATATTGGTGATTTTTAAAAGCCTCCCGTGATGTCAAAATTAAATAAAATGGAACCGTTTTAGACTTAAGCCATACCTCAATCCTTCCTATACAAATTTGTCAAATTCGTACAAGCTTGCTTTCTTTTGCGCTTTTCAAGAGCAAAGTTCATTTGCCTCTACTCGGGACACTGATTTCCGCCATTTTACGGCTAGCTACCGACGCTGGTTTCAGTTCAGTTTCGAGAATTTTCTAGGATAAAGAAGCAAGTCTGAGGAAAAAAAACCTTACAACGTTTCTAAGTTCACTATAAGGCATCTCTGACTGAAATGATTTATGAAGATAGTCATTTTTAGGTCGATGTGCCACCTCTCAAGCGGTCTTGAAAAAAAGTCGCTCTTAAGAGCAAATGTTCCAGAAATCAAACATTTTTAAAATTTCGTGGCAACAGCTCAAAAATCAATTTGGCCTATAATCTCATGTTAGGTAAACCTCAATGTAAAACAAAACACTACATTTTCTCTCGTTGCCATGTTCCCACCAATAACGTAGCTCCATTTTCTGCCTTTAAAAGCACACATAACCTACAATTCCTCTATTCGCTCCGACGAAGGGCTAACGCTCGAAATGTCAGCTTTTGTAATCGTTACGGTGGCCAATTTACCATTTCAACTTTGTTGATATATCCAAATTAAAACACTGCATGGTTCATTTTGTTAAATATCGATTAGTTTTGGAGAAAATCGATAATCACTGAATTTTGTAAAACGCCGCTTTTTCAATGCGTAATTAAGGGCGATTCACGGCGCCTCGCGTTACAAAATAAAACACTCTAGGGCAATAAAATCAAACACATATTGTAGAACGATTTCAAAAGACACCGTGAAAAGAAGTTTTAGCAATTCTCGACAATTTACTTTTCTAATCTAATTTAATTTGATCGACCTATTTTTATCGAGAAAACTTATCTAAAATTAGCCTATTATTTTAGCTTGTGGTACTGCATATAATTTATTGAAAACTTAGCGTTTAAAAGTCAAAGAGTTGTTCTTTTAGAGCCGTAAAGGATTTTGGGGGAAATAATTCAGAGCGAAGGAATTGATTTTTAAAGTTGGATAAATTGCGCTGTCGTTTCAACTTGTCCTGCGTGTGACATGACACTGCAACGCACATTACACTTAGGAGAATCACCTAAAAAGTCAAGCAGAATATATTAAGTCCCTCCATTAACGTGTAGAATCTTACCTTTTTGTCTTCGAATCAGTGATGGAGGAAACTGTATTCCTAAAGGTCTCGTTTGCTTCGTGAGCTAATCGTGCAAAATTGTTTCCCACGACAAAGCGGTGATATTGTTTGTTTAGCCTGCTTCGGACGTTTATAGCTTTTTGTTGTGCGTATTCATTGCCTCTATTTTCCTAAAAAATGGTTTTAGGGTGCCTTTCGTTAAGTCCTCTTTGCCGAAACATTAGTTTTGAACTGAACAGCAAATCAAAGCGGAACCAAGAGACCTCAAGTCAAAAACATGTTATCACATGGGTGTTGTGAAATACCGCTTCAAGTGAAATCTACAACCACAGAATTGGAACTTAGAACAAATGAGGAGTGGATCTTAGCGATATTTTATTAGATATCAACGTAGTAAAAAGGAGAGACAAACAGAATCCTGTTTAAAAAACAAATGAAGGTGAAAGAGTGACAAATGTGATCACTAGAAAAATCATTAGCCGAGGAAACAAAAAAGTTTCGCGGCGTTGCCCTAGAAACCTTGTGAAATGATGAAATCGTCGTCGCTATCATTTGTGTTCGAATTAATTTAATTGAGAAGGTCGGTACTAATTTAAAAACAGGTGTCAGTTTTTGTTTGTTTTGAGCGAACTGAGACAATTTGTTTGTAGTCTAAAAGTTGGGAACCTTCCTCAGCTAAACAAACAGAAACGGAGTTCCAGTACTGAAGTCATGATCTTTCCAAACTGCCAAAGCCAGGAGTAAACCAACGTAAAAACCGGTTTTAGAAGAGGCTCCACAGAACAGAAATAACAGAGACGACGATGAAAGTTGCAAAGAAGAAGGAAGAGATCTGGCCCCAGTTGTTCGAAGGATGGATAACGCTATACACTGGATAAAATTCTATCCAGTGGATAGCACAGTACGTTTTGGTAACACTTATCCGCTGGTATATGTGCACGATCCTTCGCAGTAAAGCACTATTTAAGCAATAGTGCAAATCAGACCTGAAAAAAATTCAGGCCTGTACGGGATTCGAACCACTGACCTCTGCGATACTAGTGCAGCGCTCTACCAATTGAGCTAACAAGCCAACTGGGAGCAGGCCATCAAATTAATTCGACATAAACCCGTAGACCCATAAACCTCTAAACCTCTAACATAAACCCATAAACCTCTACCGCAGTTCATATATATGTATTTCATATATATTTGTTGTTTGACTTATCCGCTGGATAGCGATTTATCCTTTGGATAGCGTTATCCGCCCTTTGAACAACCGGGGCCTGTTTTTCTGTTCAGAAGAGGGATGTGTCAAGTCCTTTCAACAATACTCATTGCTAGAAAAACATCTGGACTGTGGTAAACACCAGGCTCCAGTTGTTCAAAGGGTGAATAACGCTATCCAACGGATAAATCGCTATCCAGCGGATAAGTGTTACCAAAACGTACTGCGCTATCCACCGGATAGAGATTTATCCAGTGTATAGCGTTATCCATCCTTTGAAAAACCGGGGCCAGTACGCCCTGGAAAAGGAAACACTGTACGACAAGGCAATGACTCGCATGGACGCCACCAAACTGGGGCGTGGTGCTGGTGTCCTACCAGAAATATTTGATGAAGGAGCATTTATGTCAGTGGAGGATCATGGCTCTGTGCTACCGATGGGATGGGCTCTTAAGTAGGCAGGATTACAAAGAAAGAGTCTCACGGTGGCGCAGAAAAACTATCTGACTGGAGTCTTTCAAGTTGGAGAACAGTCAGAACACACCTGGGAAAAAGCTGGTCCAACGAGCGTCTCAAAGGCAATGCGTAAAGTAAAGCATAGTAACGGATCTAATATCTTCGACAAGAGCGACTATCTGACCATAAACGGGTTGAGTCTTTTGAAAAAAAAGCTAGGTGATGACAGTTTTGAAATTGATTCAGAGGCTAGACCTTGTTTTTCGAGTGATTCAATTGACTTTACAAAGAAAGATGGTTTATGTGAATTATCACCGTAGAATATAGCTGATGCTATGAAATGTAAGAAGTGATATTCAAACTAGAAAGAATCGTTGGTTTGAGATGTTTAGCAGCAGCATTATATCAAGGGTTCATGATTTTCCAGCCACAGAAGTCCGTACAGGTGAAATTCCGCTCTCAATTCCAGAAATATTAATTGGTCACGCAACCGTTAAGCGGTTTTCTTGCAGCATTACCGTAAATACATGTTCGGCAAATCCAACTTGCTGAGAACACCCTACTCCGTCCGCAAGAAATATGTAAGTTGTTATTATACTCTGAAATTATGAAAGTCTTAATACGCTGGTAAAGAAGGTCAGATGAGCCTTTAATTTCATGATCAAAAGATTTGATTCTTTCCCGAAATTGTCACGGATTTAAGACGTCTTTCCAATGTGTCAGTTTTTAATCGACAGCTCGTTAAATTGTTTGCCTTTGGTTTGCTTATTGGTTCGAAACTGATTTTGGAGGAAAGACAAACGAAAATCACTTTTTAATCTGATCTCTGATCTTAAATTCAGAGCTAAGGTCGGGAAAGCTTCACACCAAAACATCTCACGCCCGGTCTTCACGCGGACGTGTGAACAAACATGACAGCCGCGTTATCTTTAAAAATCATCTTGCAGTTTGATTGAAATTTGTATCAAACAAAGTGACAGCAGAAATAAAATCTGTCTTTGATTTTTAAAACATGTTTTTTACGTCAATCCCGCTTTTGATTGAAAGCTGTCTTTGAAACAATTGTATTTCTGTATGTTACTTCATAAATTGGAAGGTTGGTTAAAAACAGGGCGTTTTATCCAACCTTAAAATTCAATTTCTTCGCGTTAAATCATTTCCCCAAAAAATCCTTTGGACATGTAAAAGAACTATTACTCGGCTTTCGAAATCCAGACTTTTCGACGTATTTCATTTAGTACCACATACTTAGATTAAAGGTTATTTTCCAGTAAGTTTTCATCTTAATAAAAGAGGGCCGGTTCGCGGAATGTAATTGCTCAAATTCCTTTTCACACTGGCATATTTTGGCATCATTCTACAAGATTCAGTAGATTTCATTTCTCTGGAGTGTGTTATTTCGTTAAGCGAAGCCTTCTTTGTCGCCCTAAATTGTAAGCTGAGCTCAAATTGTGGCAATTTCTCAAGATTCGGTTATTATCGATTTTCTCGAAAACTAATCGATATTTAGCCAAACAAATGGTGCAGTGTTTTGTTTTACATTAAGGTCTACCTAACCTGACAATATGGGCCAAATTGAATTTTGAGCAGTTGCCACGAAATGTTTAACCGATGGAAAACATTTGCTCTTAAAAGCTTAAAAATTTACATAATTGTTCAGACGCCGTCTCAAAGTAGTCATTGAATACTTTCTATTTTCTTTTCTTCGTGCCGCTTCGGAAGAGGATTTGGTCGATTCGCTATTCCACAAAAACAACCTAAAGCTCTTGATTTTTCTCGAACCGAATTGTAGTAATCCTTAGACCGCCCCGCGGTTACGTTTAGCGGAAAAGTGCAGGCTCAAACGAAAGATACACAGCCGTCTTGAGCTTCAGTCATAAATTCACTTTCTAATTTTCATATGTTATTTCTGTTTTTTTCTTGAATAGCAACCTTTTCAACTCCAGCACAGATGTAGCTGAGCACATCCGAGACAACCTTCTAGCAATCTTGAAGGACATCATTTCATGGCAGTCCAACATCATCCTCTCAACACCCATCAGGACTCCCGCAAGAAATCATGCTGTAAAATCTTCTCTTCCTGACTGGCTTCAAGATCATCTAGTGAACAGTTTGAGTTTTTGGAGAAGTGGATTTCGAGTGGCTGACGGCAGGTAACTGCCAACGTTCTCGATCGTCTTCTAGTGATAAAAGGAAGAAATGAAAAGAACATTACATAATAACAATAACGTTTTCGTGTCTTCATTTCTGTAATTTCGATTTCTCCCTTTTTCACCTATCCAGATGGCGGCAATGGGAGGCACTAGACTGTAATGATGTCGATTCAGTTCACAATGATTTCCAGAGGGAATTACCGTACCTAATTTTCTTCCCAGAACTACTGGACAATGTTGTGAGAGCCTGGGCTCGATATCAGCACCAGGATGGATGGATACAAGAGACTCTACAGATACAGTGGGGATGCCATAACCGGACAAACCGGTTAAATACCCCAGGAGGAAGAGTCATGGCTGATGTCACGCCAGCCTTTCTTGCACAGGTATCTGAGTTGAATTTTAAGCAAAAATTTATAAAAAGCAAAACAAACACGACAAAAACACCGCTTGAAAACTGTAAAGAACATTTTTGAGTAGAAGCTTGAATAAATTCGTATTTTAGGTTTTCCGAAACAGATGACGCATTTCATTAAATATTTAAAGAGGCTTTAGCCGTTTCCTGATTCAAAGAAAACTAGCAGAATATTACTTAAAAGTGGTACACAAAAATAACAAGAAATCAAATATCTGGGTTGTTTGAATCTTTTTAAGAACTTTTACGC